TCCGGAAGGTTCTAAGTGTTAGTAAAGATTATCTACGCACATGCTTTCTACATATTATATCACTGAAGATATAGTTAAGAGCTCCGACTACGGCGACGTCCATAAAAACCTCGCTGAAAAAAAGACTCTGCATTCCTTTAAACGTTTTGCCATTATCCCAAGTCACCCACTTACTTAAAGGAAGGGGAAAATATTAGAGGGGACCGCACCTGACAGAGATCATAGAATTTATCATTTTGCCGCTCCCGTTCTCAAGTAAACTTAAAATTTGGTTATTCACGTCGCACTTGTGATTTTACAAAATCGTAAAGCACGCGCAGAGTTGTCGTTTTTCTCATTAAACTGGTTGCTGTTTTAACGCACCCGTTTCGTAACGTCTCTGTTCAACGGTGACGGCAGCGATCGAAAAAGAAGAGGCTGACGATCGAGAAAAAAGCCTCTGTACTAACGCGCTTTATATTTGGGCAAATTCCTCTGCCCTTCTTTGCAAAAAAAGTATTGTAATATTAGCTGTTTTGCAGGAAAAGTAAGCTAATGATCACGGCAGGACTGAACCATTTTCTATAACTTAGCTTGACTTTGTTCTCAGACTAGTAGAAATTTTTGAATTACTTTAAGAACACGAATTCCTTTTTGCATGGACTGTTTCACTGCCTTTATCGTATAAGTTGCTGAATTAAAGATCACCATAAACAAAAAGACTTTGTTTATGTTATTTAAATATAATATAATATTTAAGAGTTATCACGTTGTACACGAGGTGAGCTTGACGACTAAGGAGTGGTCGACATGCCTCATTGAGTCTTTTCTTTCCGAAAATTAAAGCTAAGAATAAATGCCTTACTTCATTTCTAAAAACATTTTCTGTAAAACAAGCTAGCATAAGGTTTTTACGACAAAACGATTTCATTGCAATAGTCGCACTTTAGACATTTTCTAAACAAAGTCAAATGAAGTGCACAATAAAATAGACAACGACAGAAAATAAACAGCACATATCATTCACCACGAGCTCAAAAGCTAGAACTACTGCGTGAAGCTTCAAGAGTAAACATGCGTACAATACCAAAGAAAAGTACTGCTGAGTAGCTCTCATTTGAATAGTCACACCATTGGATTTCGTCCATAATTGCAAAAGCTAAAATTATTTTGTACAGCATAATAAACAGTACCACAGGAAAGTACCGCTCAGTAGCTCTTATTTGAATGGTAAAACCACTGGTATTTCGTCCATAGATTTAATAGTTGAAACTATTTTGTACTTCGTAATACGCAGCACCACAAGAAAGTACTGCTCCGGTAGTTTTCATTTGAATGGTCACACCAAAGAATTTCATCTATAGACTCAAAAGTTAGAACCACCTTATAGAGCATAATAAACAGAATAATAAACATAACCTCAGGAAAGCATTGCCATGTAGCTTTCCCCAGATGTAGAGAAACATAACACGAGTCAGGTTGCACTCGATACTACAACAACAACCTTTATTTAAGTCACATGCATATTTGTAAGATAGTGCTGACTCGCAAAGAAGCCGAAATACTCTCATAGTAAAAATGTCGGTCTTTTCTTGAAATCAATACAAAGGATATTTCACGTAGGCTGTCATTTTGGCGTTAGGGAACGTGTGTTTAAAGTCGAATCATTTTTGTTACCCCTATACAGACCAGCAGGCAAACTAACTCCACTACAGGTACTAGAAACTGTACACTGGGTTGAATGTCTCAGCACGTGCCGTTGTCGTTATCACGTTGTTTATTATCCGAAATTAAAAGAGTCTGGGAGGGTATTCTCGGGATCCGGAATTTTACCCGAAATATAAGATTTGACAAAACGCCAAATTCATTGACGGGATACTGGATTTTACCGCTGCTCGGGCATCGGGATGAGCCGAAGTCTTAGCACGAGCCACGAAATGCGGATTCGGGATAGAAATGACAGAAATTCGGGATGCGGGAATCCCGCAGGGTTCTCGTGAAAAACGGGCGGGAATGCGGGATCAGGACCCCCTTTCAGACCCTTTTACTCCTTTTTATGAGAGTAAATGACACACATGATCGAAACACCTGTTTGAAAGAATCAAAGCGCTTAGCCTAATCTACATTAGACGACATGTGCCTATAACGTGCATCTTACGTGGCAATTTTTTTGGGTAAAAAAACCTGCCAACCAACTGTAAATAGATTCTCGCTTTTTGATAAGGAAATTCTTGGCAAACCTGGTAGAGAGATTTGATATTCTTAAAAATCGACATGGTGATGGTTAGGAAAAAGAGGAAGTGGATTGAAGGATGAAAGAGGCCTTCAAATTCCAAGATTCCTATCGTTTTTGTTTAGTTAGCATTTCCGATGGCTAATCATTATCGTCTGCTTCGGGGTTTAAAAAGGCTCAATTTAGTATAGTTTAACGCTTTGTAGTTATTTGGCCTCCTTTGATCTGAGCTGGCAAAGGCTGAGATATGATTTCTGCGGCGGCTTTCATTTTCAGGTTTTATAAGAAAGTATCGTTCGAACTAACTCGATAGTTTCTCTGTTGTCTGTTTGGACAAGAGGCGTCTCTTAAAGCAAATAGATTACCTCTCTGAATTAGGCCCGGTTAGCCTTGTACCTAAAGAAACTGGAATGCAGTGATCAAGCGAATCATTGTTCAAGCTGATATTGACATTATTACTTGACGTTTAAGGAAATATTTGAAACTTTCTTCCCACGTCTTGCTAGTCTGTTTGCGAGGGAATGTTCAAGATTCGATGCCACTGATTTTTGTACCATGTTCCAATCTATCTAAACGAAACCATTTTCTGCTAAAAGTAAGCAGACGCAGGCAATGTTCAGGAAATGAGCAATAGCTATAACTCTGGTGCAAAATTGTCCGGAAAGTGAATATCAAAAAAATGCTTTTGTTTGATATAATTATACTTGAATGAGAATTCTAACCTCACCTGTGATACGCTTTCTTTTTGAAAAAGAAGGCTTTCCTCATTTAAGCACGAAATGCAAGATTTCGACACGTTCCTGAATTAGACTGAAGAGATGCCACACGCGCTCTCTGACACGTGAAACTGTAGGAATATTTTTAAAAGTAGTGCTTCTGAAAAAAATACGCTGCGTTCGAGCTTAGCATACTTATACATCTTTTAAGTCAAATGAAAGTCGAGTTTTTTTGTAAATGGTGTTTCCTATATTTATCAAATATTGCCATTTGATAACAGATTGTGTACTTCTAACTTTTGACTCCGTGAGCAGATCCTATAACGAAACTATTCAAACGGAACCTCAATAGCAGAACTTTCGCATGGTGTTTGTTGTTATTATCATTTCAAGTTTTTTTTTTAATTCAGTATGTTTCATAGAGGTTTTAAAAATTGTTTGCGAATTTTTTAATTGGTGGCAGTGACTGAAGGATTAAGACGGGCTTCGTAGACAAGAATTCGGGTCGTTTACTAAGTGGTTGGAAGGCGTGTCGCACGTGTACTTATTTTGTTTTTAGCAGATAACATTAAAATTACACACCAACAATACAATGATATTGGCTGTGGTGCGTGGAGCATACCAGTTCTTGCCTCAGTTTCGGAAAGAAAAGCCAAAACATTACGCGCACAAAGCGAAATTATTAACTGAGAGAATTGAGCAAGATTTTTTGCGCCTTTACCTAGTAAGTGAAAAGATCTTAGGGAAAATGCACAAATTCAAGAATTTCTCCTCTTGGTTAAAGAGGGAGTGACGAGACAGTCAGTTTACGTCAATTTTCTTTAGAACAGTCAAGAGCTATATTTAAGTCCACGTGTTTGAGTTAAAGGAATGGTTAATCATTGTCAAGTAGCAGACTCTGTATTGTGTTATTAATAAACGCCCTTAGGTCTACGCATTTTCATCGGAAAGAGAGACGAAAATTCCTTTTCTTTTTCAAGAGCTAAGGGTGCTTAAGATTTGAGGAAATCCGAATTATTGTAGATATAAACTGGTTGTTTATTTCTATCTGACCAAGATCAGAAAGCGTCGATTTAAAGAAAACAATGAGTACACAAAACGATAATTTGAACAAAAAAAAATGATATTGACAAGTTAAAAATATATATATATATATATTAGCTAAAAAAAAGGTGTCAAAGGTTTTTCATTGAGGATAATACTGACTGTCGTTATTAGGTGACGAATAAATGTCTGTCAGTACTGTGGCTTAAGCTTGACCTTCTCTAAATACCCTTTTTAAAGTTTAAATGTAATTTACTGTACGGGTGAAGAATGAACAAAGTTAGAAGGGGGTAAAAGTACTTGCACGAGACAAGTATAACAGATTAGCATAAGCCGCAACGTTTAAAAAAAACGCCTGTAGCAAAACTATTTAAAAAGCCGAGACAAAGAAATATGCTACTCGCACCTGGTTGAAGAGATGTCTATTTTTTTTTCCCTAAGTTAGTAAAGGCGTTGTAAAAGGGGGCAAGCAGATCGGGCATAACTTTTCCATTATTGTTTTTGAAGTTCCCTTTTCGCTAAGCTGTCAACTAAGTTTTGCTACAAATTAACGGAAAGTTAAGAAAAAACTGAGCTGAGATAAAAACTTTTGGACTTGGATAATAACAGCTGTGTTTTTCTCACCATCCTGTAATTAAAGACCAAGAAGATGTAAATAAACTTGAGGTTTATTCAATATGTAACCTCTAATTTTGTTTTGTTTAAGAGCAAAACACTTTTGTTTCTTACGAAACTCTCGTTTATTATTATTAAAAAATTTGAAAACTTTCCAACTTATTTATAATCGCCATATTTAACAAAGTTGGTTCATATCTTTACATACATTCAATTTAAAAATTTAATTACTGATATGAGTTTAAAGCTACCCGAAATATAATACAAGAAAGTTGCTTACAAATTTACATGTAAACATTTAGCAGTGACACATTTTTTGACCTAAGAATGTTATTCGCCAAATCCGTTGATAAATTCCGTCCATGCGTTCTTATTAGTAACATGAGAGTCTTCTGTCAAGTATAACTACTGTTCTAACTGGTGTAAAACGAATCTACAAAGAAATCACTGTAGTGTGGATAGGATAAGTCCACATTGATCACTTGTTCCCCTATTTTCTGTCTGTCGGCGCATAATATCTCGGAGAGATCTCGTATGTACTCCCGCGCAAGCCTAAGAAGCTCCAATTTAGTTAATTTCCTTTTGCTTTCCGTGTTGGGAATTACTTTTCTCAGTGCCTCCATCGCATCGTTAATTGCCTGAATTCGCCTGCGTTCTCTGCTGTTAGCCCTGATCCGTCTAAGCCTTGGATCGAGGGGATAGCTCTTGGTTGGTCTCTTCGGAGAACTGTCAGCAAAAGTGCTCGAGGAGAAATTTTCTTGGAGGCGTCTTCGATTTTCAGGGGCTATTTGAGTTGCTCGTGGTGTTTCCTCATTCCTGGTAAAAGAGCATTGAGTTGGGATCCCATTTTTGTCCGTATCCATCACAGAAATTTCTGATATCATTATCTGTTCAGTCCTTCAAAAAAAGTAATGGTGCATAGAGATATAAGCATTCATTAAGCTTTGAAAAGTAATTTTAAAAACGTTTTAACCTTTTCACAAATAATGAGGTCTTAAAACTGTTCTAAGAAAGGCAGCCTCAAAAACGAATAAGAGAACCAACAGTAGAAAAAAAAGCTAGCTATTTTGATTCAATCTTGATAGTACAAAAAAAAATACTAAAAGCAAAAACCAAATTAACCTTACCTGCGCCTCAAGGATGTAAGTAAAAATGCTCTCTACTGACAAATGCTTTTAAATGACGATAAATATTTGAGTAACGTATTCTTTGTTTGAGCGTTAACAAATTATAAGCCAATATGCCATTCTTGCAGGCTATTTATGGTGACAGGAGAGAATAGTTAACCAATCAGTGTCGCCTTTTTATGAGACCCGGCTCTAAGACACGGCTTTAAAGAGACTAAGAATGAACGCAGAGTCAAAACATTTCACAGCAAATGACTTACGATTGTTTTATTTAAGAAACACCTTTACATTGCTGGATTAAATAATTCTAGTGTTGATCAAAGCCTTGTTCAATAACAGTGGTCTCTTCTTTCTATTGTTTGACCTCGCCACATGTAAATCTCGCGTCCATATACCACGTCTCATAACTTGGCAACCACTCCCATTCCCGTGTATAAACTTACGCAATGAACTGGAAATCTTTTTCAACTAGAATTTTTGAAGATTATCTAGCTAGTTTTTAAATTCTTTAAGGCGAAATGCTATGAACAAGTCTGACCACGAAAGTTAATAAAAATGAGAGGCTTGCCACCGACAAAAAGTAATAGTGTTTCTTTGGGCAGCGCTGTGTGTTTCGATATGTGTAAAAGGTTACAGCTTTTCTGTTGTGTCTTCACAACATAGCAAGACATTTTTAACCGAACAATGCCTGGTTATGATCCTCGCTGTTTCGTAGCAGACAGGTGGCCGACTAGAGCCTGATTGGGCAATGTGCAGCGGTAAAAGGCCGCGAAATGTTCCCACGGTTAATATAGTTCGTCACTTTAAGACACATGGTGCAAACAAAGGAGTCTCAATCAACACATGCTTAAGTTGAGTTGATATGGAAGCTGGAACAAAGCACACAAACTGACGAACATGGAATGAAGCCTTTATTTACAAAGAAAGAGATGAATTCACTTTATAAAGCGGGGTTAGGGCCAAGTGCATCGAAGCACTCTATTTTGTAACATAACCAAGTGATTTAGTTTGGCTTTCTGTTACTGTAAAACGTAGAACTTTATTAACGCTGTGAAATATAGATTGTACTCAGTATAGCCACTGATGCATAAAGTATTCTGTAGGAACAACATTTATAGTAATTTTAACTGGGCCATCTGTGAGATAGGATTAAAATAATGACCTTTTCTAGTTCGTTCCTTCGTCTTGAAAATTCTTTGTAAAGCAATTAAGAAAACTGACAGAAAGTTTTTCAGTCAAACAACTATCTGACCAATGAATTTACCATTGAACAAACTATAAACTAGTTATTTAAATGCCTTCGAGCTTATTAAATTAAACTGACAAGTAAAAAAAATCATTTGTTTGGAGAAAAAGGACAGTAAAATAATACAGTAATCGATAAGGCTGAAGTTAATTTCAGGAAATTTGACTAAAGAGGAAGATCATGGCCACTTAGTTTTAAATTTTCCTTCCTGCGGATTTTTGTCCATTTTTACAAAATCTAGTTCCAGCTTCTTGGTCAAGCCCGTGCATATTTCTTTACGTATTCTTTTTCAATAGGACGAGTAATTTGCCACTCCAATTTTAAAATTTGCGGACGAAAGCCTGTGGTATTACCAGTCAAATGGAACCTCTTTAGCAGAACTTTTTTATAATACTTAATATATTTCTTACGATTATACGAAAAATAGATTGATTTGTTGCGAATGTTTTTTGTCCGAGCGAGCGCTCGACCAAACTAAATAACTTTTCTTTAACCACTGTTAGAAATGCAAGGATTACTGTTCGTTATTAAAAGAAACAAGACATTGAATAGGCCTTAGAAAGTTAATGGCGAAAACGTAACACGCTTACTGTAGTGTAATTCTTCAGTACTTAGTACCGAAGTACGTGTTAATCATAAGTCAATATGGAAAGATAAAGCCGTAATGGTGAATACTTTTCTGTAATGATTTTCGTCAGATTACAGTAATAGACCATTGTACTACGTTCCTTGAAAGAAAGCGTTGTCAACGATACAGGTGGCCGGATAAATAATGTCATTTAATTTTTTTAGCAGTAGGTTGGAATGCGTGGTCCTCCTTCTGAACCACAAAAATCTTTTGTCTATCGGATCCTTAAAACTTTGCTCATTTTTGCTAGAAAAAAAGCTAGATTAAAATTTATTTACACATTATAGATAAACCTGTATTTAGTTGGCCCAATATTGAGCGAGTAGCCTGTAAAAAGAAAACGAAAAAAAAAAAATACTCAGTTTCTTTCAAACGTTTTTCCCATTTTTCTGCGAAACCACACGAAACCAGAAACCAATTATAGACCTCCATTAGCAAAGTCGTTCTTGGATGTTTTCCTACTATTGGACTCATTGTATGCAAATTTGAACTTTCAAAACACCTCAAATATTTTTCTTAAAAGAATGAAAAATCCAGACAAAAGCGATGACAAAATTACTGATAATTATGGCGAAAAGTGAGTATTTAACAAGAGAGACTCAAACAGATGAAAGTTAAAGACAAAATTTTCAAGTGCGAACTTCGCCTACTATTGGGTGGGTCTTCGCGCAATGCAAAACCAACAACCTACTTTGCCTTAATTTCAAATCCTTTCAGACCGTCATGTGCTTCTTATTTTGAAATCAGACAAAAGACTTCAATCAAAAGTTAAAACCTGGGTTCATTTTACGGTATTTTGATGCCAAGGTAAACTATTCTTTTCTTAATTACTTTTTTCCTTCCTATTCTAGGACCTGTTTTAATTGTTCTAGGACTTTGTTCGCCAATGGCCTTGACATTCACAAGAAGCTTAAAGATTTGTTTAGACCAGTAATTCAAATTCAAAGAGACAGCATGGATTTGTGTTGATTTAATTCCCTCAATTGCTAGTTTTGTTACCTTAATAGATCATTGTTGTCTGCTTCAGCGATGACGCATTCTTGTAAATCATTTTTCTTAGTTTTAAAAGGTATGATAGCCTTCTTATGCCAGTTTGACAGCTAAAATAACTAGAAAAAAAGGGTATTTTTACCTATAAAAACAAATCAGAGGATTTGTTCTGTTTGTCATAATGATTCAAATTACCAAGTTCGTTTCGACGTTATTCTTTCCATTGATTTTTACTATTTTACTTAAACAAAGAATCTACGTATTTTTTGAGTTTCAACGAAAATTCTAATTGATGACCCCATCTTTAGATTTTAAATTTGAAGTGTTTCAGATTTCTAGTTTATATTAACCATTTAAGTATGATCAGCTTCAAATTTCTCCTTGTAATATCAATGCTTTGTAAAACAGAGTGGTCATGAGAATTACGGACATGATCACACAAGATGAATTTGCTTGATATTTTATTAACTTCTCCCCACTACTTCTGTAGGAAATGAATAGGGGCAACAAATGAGAATTCAAATTTTGATCTTAGGGTTTAAAGGGTTAACAACACACGATTTTGTTAGAAAGCGGGTATTTAAAGTATCCTAGCGACGACTTAAAACATTTAAGTATCTGCTGCTGACCCTGGAAACTACTGGTGTCCACTGTGCTTTTTTAAGATTCTGCATAACAAGCTGTGGGCACAGGTGTCATCAGAGCTTAAATATTTGTGATGCACACAAATATTTAAGCTCTGATGACACCTGTGCCCACAGCTTGTTATGCAGAATCTTAAAAAAGCACAGTGGACACCAGTAGTTTCCAGGGTCACTAGAGACGTCATTTCGGTGAAATATCTGCTTAGAGGGTCGTAATAATAGCTGCCTTTGACCTAAATAGACACACTGAATTCTGCAAAGCTGATCGTACTACGTGAAAATTAACTTTGCAAGACATCAACACGACACCGAAAGAACCCAAAACAGAGCGGGGTGGTAGCCGTAGACAGCTGTTTCGCCATTTTTATGGCTACCACACCGCTTTATTTTTGGTGTCTTTCGGTGTCGTGTTGATGTCTTGCAAAGTTAATTTTCACGTAGTACGATCAGCTTTGCACAATTCAGTGTGTCTACTCAATGTTTATTTTTGCCGGTCAGGGGCCCGTTTCTCGAAAGTCCTGGTAACTTTACGGGCCCTAAATCAAATATTCAAACCGAAACATAAAGAATAAGAGCGCGGGTTCTGGCTAGCAAACTACTCCATTTTGTTTCATTAACTGACAGTTTTATCATGTAAGATGCAAAACTTTTGAAACCTCGATCTTTAATGTAAACGGAGACAGCTTACCGGGCCCGTTAATTATCGGGAGTTTCGAGAAACGGGCCCCAGGTCTTTTATGCATCCTACGTTTTGCGGCGTATTCGTTTGCGGTCCTTTGCAGTTTTAATGTGAAAAGTAGACGCGCGCGGCTTGCTTTGCTCACCCAAATAGAAGAGCTTACTTGCAGGCTGCCTTTGACCCTTTACTTCGATTTAGAGATAACTGGACCATGGTAATGAAACACGATTTCATGACAAATTTTCCGATCAGCCAGCTAGAAGGATTACTAGATTGTGCTGGCATAACTTTTGGCATGCTTTGTCATTACGAGCATAATTTTCATCTATTTTCCGAAAAAAAAAAAACAAGGCTAGCATAATTTGCTCTTTTGGCTAATTTTGGGCCGAGATCAGTGATACAGGCAAATTTAAGTAACAAAATCAATATTTTGTCGTCTTATTGTCACGTTCAAGGGAGCTGGGCCCCACAGGAACTGACCCAGGACTCTTTCCACAGGACTCAACGCATGCGTATAACTAGCTCGGTTAGTCAAGACGGCGTCCACGTGCGTGCTGGTTGTTAATTGTT